CGGAGCACAGCCGCGGAGGCGCAGAGGTCCCACTGCCTCTGTGGCTTTGCTCCTGTCTCCCTGCTGTGCTGGGGGAGTCCCCCCCAGCACACCAGGGAGACCCAGAGCAGCTTTTCTCACCCCGGAGGACGCGGTGGCGGGACCACTGCGCTCTGGCCGGTCCCGCCGCCCGCGAGCTCCGGGGCGAGAAAAGCCCTGTTCGTAAGTGCGGATCCGACATAAGTCAGATCCGCGTAAGTCGGGGACTGTCTGTACAGTTATACCAGTAACCCCTTCTGGTGAAGGCTCAGTTTACACCAACAGGAGAGTGCTTCTGCCACTGTGGCTGACACTAGCGCCACCCGGAGAAATGTGTTATAGATGCACTTTGCCAATGTATTGGCCTATGCTAGGACTTCTGCCAAAATAAAAAGGTTAAAAAAAATCATGCTCCTAACCAACACTGCTATGCCAGTGTAGCTACAGTTGTACTGAAAATAGTCCTTTTGCTAGTATCGCTTACTGCTGCTTTGGAGAACTGGTTTAAGCTTTACCAACAAGAGAATTCCTTTGCTAGTCAAAGCTGTATTTTCACAAGTGAGTTTGCTAGTATATCTATCCTGTTAAGGGTAAATTAAGGGTAAATGAGGCCTAAGAAAAGAGGGATTATTCTCCCTGATGGTGCAGGGACAGGGGGAGAGGTGCATAAACATGTAAGGTGCTGGGAAAGAAATTTGAGACCCCCACCTACATGTAGCCTAACAGGCAAATATGGTGATTTAGCAAACCATTCTAAAATTAGCACCACAGTATGACCAGAAAAAACCAGAAAGAAATCTGCTTTATTGTAAACAGAGACAAGTTTCTATCTAAACTTAAAACCTCAGCAATGTAGATTAGCTTTTAACCCACACTATGAGATTTTATTTCTGCTACCCACTGGTATATTAAAAGGACCATTACATATACCCATCAGGATCTTGTTCATAAAAAAGATGCTCAGGACACACACTTCTATGTCAGAAAATACTCCCACAGCATGCAGGGGAAGAGAAAGAGGACACCAATTCTCAGTATGAGGCAGGGAGAAAAAGAGGACGGACCAGCATTAAATCAAATAATCATGAGATAAAAAACGTACCTTTCCAAGTTTGTTCGGTTTCCTCTCAACCCACCTTTACCTACTAACTAGAGTAAAAAACTCTAAACTGGACTTGAGGTTTCATGTTTTTCTGGTGGATGATTTTCCTTATTTAGATTCAGGGCCTCGAAGAAGTGAAAATTATTGGCTAGACTCTAGCAACAGCAAATTCAAGAGAAACGTGATTTTGACTGTCTGCTGTCTACACATCCCACTTACTGATATCTAGCTGCATTTGAAAGAGGATCTAGAGAATCCAACATTTTCTATGCAACAAATTACCTCGTGGATTATCTTCATGTCTGCATGGAACTCAACCACCACCAAATTCATGACAAAAGTCACCGAGACCCCCTTGAAATATTAGTCTGTTTGATCTATTTAATTTCTTAAACGAGACATTTCCATCTATTCTAGGATACGGATGTTAAAATGTGTTTATTTTGGTAAACGTATACCTACTGAAAATATCAGCGGGTACATGTTTACACCGAGGGAGGGGTGGGGAGGTGGGAGCCAGTGCTCGCAGGGAGCCACCTGCCTCTACCTGAGCTGCTGCCACTGATACAGAGGCAGCAGTGGGGTGTGTGCATGTGCACGTAACCGTGAAGGTTATATCGAGGAGCCCAGACTCATCAGTTAACTGTTTATTTGTTCACGCTGTGACATCCCTATTACAGAAATGGCTTTTCTTTGCCTCACATGGCTGAAACTCCCCTCACACGTGTTTCTGCACTATGTACTTGCAAAGGAAAGGGAACACGTGAAAACTGTGAGAGAAAAAAACCTTTGCCACAGGGGCTCAGCCAACTTTTAGTCAAAAGGATTAAATTCCACACTCAATCTATCCCTCAACTGCTACAGTCTGAATCCTCGGAATTCAGTAATGTGCAGTTTACCAGAGTCCACTTCCAGGAGGCACTTCTAAAGGTAGCACAGTCCAGCTTGTTGAATTTGGCAACATTTATTTATAGCAGGGAGAGGCCCTCCAGAGGCATGCGTTGGCAAGGACGGACACTAACGGTATATACCATTTGCAGCTGAAACAGGGCTCCGGTTGAAAGGCGACAGGCAGTTTGAAGCAAAGGCATACAATCAGAATGAACTCTGAAAGACTACTGCAATTAATGACTAGCTCAGATTCTACTCCCACAGTCTTTCAGCTCTTCTACTGTTACTAGCTAGGAGCTCAACTTATTGTGCTGCTTTCTCTGTTAACACTTCAGGCCACTGTCTGCGGCTTGAAGTCAGCTTTACGACCCCTTGGGAGCACTACAGCCAACAGTCCAAAATAGATTCTCCTGGCACCTTAGGAAAGTGGACATCTCCGCCTGAAGATATGACGAGACACAATCACGCTATGTCACTGAACGGGCCCGAGGGGCTTGAATCAGCCCTACCGCCAAGTCATTTCCCTGGTCCAGAAAAACACTTCCACATTTGTGTCTACTTAGGCCCTCGGGCCCGTTCAGTGACATAGCGTGATTGTGTCTCGTCATATCTTCAGGCGGAGATGTCCACTTTCCTAAGGTGCCAGGAGAATCTATTTTGGACTGTTGGCTGTAGTGCTCCCAAGGGGTCGTAAAGCTGACTTCAAGCCGCAGACAGTGGCCTGAAGTGTTAACAGAGAAAGCAGCACAATAAGTTGAGCTCCTAGCTAGTAACAGTAGAAGAGCTGAAAGACTCAAAGCTTCACCCATTTCAATCCCTGGATCTTTTTTTCTCCTACTGATTCCTGTCAGCCTTCCAGCAGAGCCATTTTCAGCACTCTGTGCTGCGGCCGCATGTACTGCTCCATCCCCACTCTTCTCCAGTCCATGCCGGCTCCTAGTGACAACTACCGAGACACCCCCCACCACAGACTTCACTTCCTTCTCTCTGACCAAGGGCTGAAACAATGCTGCTGTTAGCCCCGCAGTTAAAGCTCCAAAAGATGGATAACCACACATGAAAAGATTCAGCCATCAGAAAGCCAGTTCTAGAATTTTACTCTGTAAGGACATCTGCCCCAGGGACCTTCCTGTCCCTGTTTATTACCACTGCGCCTTTTCAAAAAGCCAGTGTTTAGCCTCTCTGATTTATCAGTCACTGGTGAGTTTAAGTACAATGGTTTAAGCAAATTCTCTCTGCTCTTCTGTATGTTACTTGACCACAGCTTGAATGTTAA